ACTTTCGTACGACTAAGTTTTATTAAATTTTAAGTTTCTATTTTAGTGTTTGCCATACAATATTAAACCGTCGGTGATACTTTCTTAGATTTACGCGAATGTTTGACATTATTAAATAAAACTATCTTTTCGGATTATTTCGCGGATTTATTTTGATTTTTGGTTCCCGACGTTTCGAATGCTTTACAGCCTTTTTACAGGCTGTCTGTAAAAACTATATCTTTAAGACATGTAACACCTCAGTCTCTCCCGTGACCATGGATGCTGTAAAGCATTCGAAACGTCGGGAACCAAAAATCAAAATAAATCCGCGAAATAATCCGAAAAGATAGTTTTATTTAATAAAACCGTCGGTGGTTTAACTTTAGACTTATAAATCAATGCCAACATACTTAATTCATCCATACATATTCTATATTATTATATACTATGTATACATATACCATATACTTTACATACAACAAGTCGTACGCAACCAATAGAAAGATCACTAGCCCACACATTTATTACATCTTTTTGTTTTTTACGACCGGAGACCACCTAACAATTGTTCTACTTTGCTACTTTTATGTCACCCGGACCTCCCTAGGAGAATAATAATATGGATATGAGTACAAAGTATTGGTTTAATGGTCTAACAATTCTATGCATGAGGGATACGGGTAATCAGTTTTGCGGTTTAGAAGAAACTAAAATTATTATAATTCTACATCTATCGGTTTGGTCGTGTTATTTTACGACGTAACCAGATATAATTGGAGGTGAGTTACGAACTGTAAATTATGTGGGAGTATACATAACTGCTAAATTAAATGTCGCATTTTTTTATCAAAGTAAATAGCGTAATCTAGCAACTTAATTAACAGTATAATATATCAGTGACTTTGCCATATAAATAAAACGTTATATGTAGTAGGTGCATGTTATTTTATGTTGCGAGTCTTCTCAAAACAAACTTCAATATAAACGTCTAGTGCCAATATTTTCTATCGATTTAGTTTACAACAAAGTAATTAGCTTTTAGTTATAATATGTCTTAGGCAAATATATTACTCTTTCTTTCAATAAATTATTATTAAAACACCTTTCTATTTTACCTTCTCTGAAATCTACTCGCCCTCCAAATCGCAATAAACGTACAGGTATAACATAATTGCAAATGTTTATTGCTTTTCTGCGAATCCACATATAAAATACAATTTGCCTACACATTATTGGCCTCTTTTATAGCAGACGCCATTACGGAGATTCCTTAGCATTTTTACAATCTATAATTATATATTATAAATCGTAAACGACTTTAGTTATAGACGGTGAAAATATACGACGGAGGTCAAATTACCGCAAATTTTATGTGTAAACTAATATATAAGTTTGGATTTTGCTTACAGTTTTACTCATTTCGATTGTTTAAAAATATAAGTTTAATAAACATATTAATATATACTCGTACTCCAAAAAAAGTAATTCTTTAAATTTTACTAAGATCTTAGAAAGATTTTGCGTTTTTTTTTGAACAGAACATCTCAATAAAATTTAAAAGATTCATCAATTAAACCTATACAGTTTATACTTATATCTAAACACATGATTATAAAACCTAAAAATATAATTTACATAAAAAACTAAAATAATTTTTTATAAATAATTTGTAAAACTTACCCAATAATCCTCCGGAGATGATAAAAACACAGTCCGTCGACATTCGCACAGCATCGCATAGCATGTCTATATGGCGTCCACACAAAAAACACTTGTAAAACTATGTATCATTCGCAAAATAACTTCATCGACGACGATAGTACACCACTTATATTATTAATTTCGCTCAGCATTTTCCTACAAAAAAGAAAAAAGCACTGAAATAAAATTATCGACCACACATATCGACCACACTCGCACTACACTATCCAAACTTCGATTGTCCATTTACTGACTAAATTTCGAATTTTCTTTCGTCCGGTCACTGCAAAGTGGAAATCACTACTGGTTAGTGTTTTCTGAATTCGCTGACTACCATTTCTTTTATCGGCTCGTAAGCAATATTGTTGCGTGTAACAATGTACGTTGTTGTGACAGTGGCTGAGTTAGTTATAAGGGAGACTTCAATGTATATGTTATTAATAGGAAGTGCTATAATTTTACTGCGCAGTAAAACTGCTTTAAGTACATATTATTACCATACACGTGTTTGCGCAGAATGCGAGAAATCTAAACGTCACTGTAAGAACAACTAGTTTTGGATAAATGAAAATTTTATCTCTTTCTAACTCCTCTAGTATTAGTGACCATGGGCTTTAACTGTGGATACAGCGCTATATATAATTAATCTTTATTATTCAATTAATAATAAGGATGTTGTATTTCTAATTAAACCGTATTTAGGTCATTGGTTAAAATTAAAATGTATTTATCACATCGTACAAGTCTGTTGTATAAAACTCAAATTTTATTACATTTATTTAAAACATGAGACTATGAAAGTTTTAATTTAATATCTCTAGTTTTTATGAAATTACGGGTTACAAATGGTGCCGCTACCGTAGAAGTGGAAATTCAATAAAATGTTAAATGACATTTTGATTTTTTATTAGTTACAGAGTTAAACTTGTTGAAAGATAATTGTAGTACGAAACTCTGAATTGTAAACCCAATTAAGTTACAGTTTTGTACTTATTCTTGTTCTCAAAAGTTACTCCAAACAATAAATAAATACCTTCTAGTACTTATTTTTCCTTAATCTCTCAACGACCGCGGACACGCCGTTACAGTTAACAAAAGATTTCTTAGAAATTTAATTAATTTCTTAGAAATTTACCTGGAGGTGTTAAGATAAAAGTATGAACAAAATAATGTCTATAGGTAAAATATTTTGTATATTTTACCCTCGACTTCGCTCTGACTACAAGCTATTTAGCAATAGTATGTAAGTGAGCCCTCAATATACATAACAAACGAGTTAGTAGCACCTGCAAGCTAACACTCATTTTACACGCTCATTTATCACTCACTAACATAAATACCGAACAATTAATAAAGTCAGAATCAGTCCATTGAGATATTTTGTGGGTATTTTATTTGCTATTTATCTGGAAATTTTAAATTTTGTATATTTCTAATACACAGACTCAAGAATAATATAGACAGAGTGTCACAGAACTAAACATGAAGCCAAACCAAAAAGCTTTTAAAGTAATATATAGTGTTTTAAATTAGTACCTATACAAATGACAGTTTGTATACTGAGTGATAAGTAAATAAATGTTTCAATAAAATAGCTAACGGATTTTATTATAATAAAGAAAAAAATGCCAATATTATGTTATCTCTCTTTCAAGGGGAAGAGAATTCATTCACATTATATTTATTTAAAAAAATGTATATTAACTTAAGTGATACATAATTAAAATTTCCCTTATTTTTTAAAGAAAGTATCTGAATGGAAAATCGCATAAACTGCAAATCACGGTACTATTTTTGAATCTGACATTAATTTTGGCGGACTCTATATAATTCTTTAGTCTGCGTTCTAATACTACTTTGTTTCTAACCTCCACTTTCAAGTTATGGCTCCTCATTTATTGACTCAAGATATAGCAAAGTCGTTAGAAGATAATTTATCCAATAGAAAATCGATACAGGATTGAGTTTATAGGTCTCTAGTACTAATAAACTAGGCATGTTTAATTAATTGCTAATTATAAAAATTAAAAGTAACTGTAAAAAGAGATAAATTGCTCAAATTATAAAGGAATAAGATTTATTTGTAATTTTATTAAACTTCGATGCTTAGTGTTAATACGAGTATAATGTCATATACATTAAAGTCTGTTTTCCTAAAATATAATACTTATAAATAAATAAATGTATTTGTAGGTTAATTGTTAAAATTCATACTAATATTTTAATTGCTAAACTAACTCTACCTATCTACGAGTCTCTGTCTCTCTGTCTGTCTGTTTTTTTATACGTTTTTAAACCATTGAACAAATTTTAATAAGTTATGGTAGAGATAGATTGGACTTTAGGGAAGGGCATATATAGGTAACTTTTACTTAAGGATGACCCTGAGCAAAGCGCATGTATATCACTAGTTAATAATAAAGACGACAACATGAACTAAAAATCATACTAAATGTGCAGAAATAATAATAAATATTAGTATGAATATTTTTTAAATTCAAAATATATTTTAACAACATGGTTTCATTGGCTTTACTAATTAATGAAAAATAAAAACTTATCCCATATTAAGTAAGACATTTGAGGCTCGTCCGCATCATCTTTTTGCAATTTTGCCGATTAAGTAGCAATCTTATAAGCATATCTTGTTGTTTTCATTTCAAATTACATCACGCTTATTGCTTTCGGTTAGCTTTTTTCTTATTTTTGTTATAACGTATCGAGTTACATGATTTTAATAATAAATTATAACTCTGTTCAAGACTTTAACATTGTAATAATGTATAGTGAAGCTCATTTTTTATCTAATAGAAAAACTAAATTTAACGTGCCATTTTACCGTTTAAAGGAAAATAAAGGATATTACATCCATTTTTTAAAAAGTAATAAAATAATTATATGAAGTCGGCTTAGTACTCTTTTATAAGTCTATGGGTTAAATTTAATTTGATTTATTAAATAATTATTTTTTCGTAATTCGCATTAATAAAAAACTAAGAGAGATTTATGTTATTTAAACATATTATATAACTTGTAAGGACGAAAATTCATAAATATGTTATTTAAACATATTATATAACTTGTAAGGACGAAAATTCATAAAAATTATATAACTTAGCATTGTAGCTAACGGTCACAGATCCCTAATCAAAGCATCATTTAAAAAAAAAACGATTTTATTGTGTGTGTCTGTGCTCGTGCGTGTCTGTGCTCGTGCGTGTATATGTGTGTTTGTTCATGTGTGTTTGTATAAATGAATGCATATAAATGCTCGTGTAATAGTTGGCCTGTTATTGAACAACTATATTACTGTATTAAAGTCCGTACTGGCGAGTCGAGTTCCGCAGTTCGTGACCGTCAAAGATGTTTAAATTGTGCTTCCTCGCGTACTCGTTGATTATCATCTTTCCTGTGAACAAACAACTTTCGTATTATGCACATTCGCTTTGCCAACAACAGAATGAATACTGCATTTTACATAACTTATCTATAAAAATTGCATTTGATTTAAATAACAATGCAGAAATCACACAAATCATGAAAGTCTCTTGCAGGTGAGAAACCTTGCACATCGCAAACTTATATCGACCGATAGTTAAAATAGATTTCAAGTTAATACTCCCAACTGTATCGAATATGATACAATTGAGGATGTACAATCACGTGTTAATGGAATGTGTCCGAAAACAATATTTTAGACAATATCTACAAATTAGTTTAAACATTATTGATTGTATATCCTTTTTATCATTCCCTACTCGTACTGATGCTAAATCTATAAGTACATATAATAAAATTGTAACTAAGCCGAATCTGTACATTAAATATTCTTTTAAAAAATCTTATTGAAATCTGGCTGGCTGAAGGCTGAATCTATAGTTTTTAAATTTTTGTCTGTCTGTTACCGCATCACTGAAAAACCACTGAAGGGATTTTGATGAAATTTGGTATGGTGATAGCTGATTATCCGGGTCAACATATAGGACTTTTTAACGCGGGAAAATATCTCATTTCTTAGAAAAAATACAAAAACTGCAATGTAAGAGTAATATCAACTAATATGTAAAACCTAAGAATTTGGTTTTTAGTCATCTGAACGCGGGCCCAGCCGCGGGCTAGTTACTATATAAATTAGCAAATCTGTGTATAGCTTTCAGAAAATAATTTAATCTTTTGTTTAACTTACAGAGCGACATAATCAACTTTTGACTAAGCTCTTTAAATAAAGAAAAAAATAGGTTTGTATTCTAAATAAGATATATATGATATTATTGACCGATATCAAATCGTTATACATATATTATATTGCATACATGTTCCATGCTAATTACATATAACGAATCCAACTTAAGTATCGACCGATAGAAAATCTGTTGGAGGCTTAGACGTCACAAATTCACGTAATGTCTTTAGCGAGCTCTATCTATAACGCCATTAACGTCTTAAACGCAATATAGGAATTACAACTTGCTACAAAATCTACTTGTTACAAATATTACACTTCTCTAACCGCCATTGTTGTAAAACGAGTATAGGAAATTATTTCTATAATATATATATATATATATATATGATTTCATTAAACTGTAAGTTTTAATATTGTTACTAATTTCCGTCTATTTTTTTTTCCAGTCTAGTTACCATATTAGAAAAATCCAAAAGCATTCTTTTACGATATCTATACCTACTAATATTATAAAGAGATTGAGTTTGTTTGTTTGTTTCATTGTTTGAACGCGCTAATCTCATGAACTACTAATCCGATTAGAAAATTTCCTTTTGCATTAGATATCCCATTTATTGAGAAACACTATTTAAAGGCTATATATCATCATAAGCATCACTACCAATAGTAATATAATATATAGTCTATCTATTCCATACTAATCGTTACAACGTATCTAGTAACGAACCCGAGCGAAGCGAGAGTGAGTCGCTAGTATATTCTATAATCCTGCTAGTTTTATGATGAATGTACCTACTACCCAGTAATGTTATAAATGTAACTAGAGAATAATAATTAACTACCTAAATCACTATAACCCCAAATGATTAGTCTTCTATTGAGTAATATTATTATAAATTATTAATATAAAATGTTGTCATATAAAAGATACTCTTATAGATAGAGAGATAATCTGATAATAGCATTTAAATTTTAAACCATTAATTTTGAATATTAAAACACATTATAAAAACTTCTAGAAACCAATAAACTTATAATTACAATTTGAAATAAAAAGTATGATGTAAATAATATTTAACTCAATACGCTTTATTTACGGGATAACTATAACAGCTAAAAGCAAGCCGATGTTTAAGTATACTTACTAAGAATTGCAGCTTGTTTGCCTACCAAGAGAGGCGCGTGAGCCATTTATTGCCTACACTATAAAATAATAGAATAAAAATTTTTACTACTACTAAGTTTATAGCCAGGTAACTTTCTGGTTGTTTGACATTAAATATCATTTACCTTTTATAAAATCTTTACCATATTAAAGATTCGATTAATTAAAATTAGATTTTTAATAAGTTTTAATAATATTAAGAAAATATAAAAAAAACGTGTGTGTGTACTTATGTACGCACGTAAGAAGTTATACCTCTTTGGCGTAATAGAACAAAAATAGCTAAAAATTTCATCCCGTAGATATGTCACAACACTGTAAAATGAATGCAGCTAACTTCATCATGTCGCTTTTTGGCTGTCATAAAAATTCTACTCTCATATTTTTTTCCAAACGTGCCAAAAGAAATATAAAACTTAAAATATATATAAAAAAGCGATGAATTATAGAAAAACTGTAATTACTGTCATAGCGTGTACGCGCGTGCGAAAAGATTTACTTCATCGCCTTGCGTCGCATTATTTATCACATAAACGGTTACACTAGCAATTGGTTTAATCGTAATAATTTACCATCCTATACAACGCATCCATTACACAAGTCTTGACATGTTCATATTGTCTTATTTTTTTCTTCATTGGAATTTAAATCTGATTATAGGTACATACATAAGTATTTTTGTTGGAAAAATACGTCTGACTAGTTTTAAACACATTAAAACGCTTATGTACCACATACTTACAGTTTTATTAAATTCACCTCTTAAGGGTTATAAGAAACGGTACGATTTGTTTTAATTTTTTTGAATCAAGTAGGAAGGAAATAGATAAATTCAAGTTTTGCTAACTTTCTTTTTACTCCGTACGCTCCACAAATAAACAATTATAATATCCACCCATTTTTTATAAAATTTTGCTTAAAATAAGGTTGTATTTATTTAATTCAACAAAATAAATAAAACAAATGAAGTTATTTATGACCAATTAAATTTTGAAACAAAAACTCGTATGTTACTACTGAGATTTCTTTACGGTTTAATAGGTAGCGTAACCCAAAGATTCAAAAGTTATGTAACACGTCATTCGGCTTTCAAAAGTGAAATTTCTGGTATTTGCTAAAATTAATTAATTTATAAATTTTCAAAATTATGTTTTGCCATCTCACCCTTTTTGCCGCTTGCGCCGCCATATTGGGACATGGCGCCATACTTTTTTCTTCCCTTGTTTGTTATAATTGCCATTGTTTAAACTTTATTCAGTATAAATTATTATTTTACTGAATAATTGTAAGAAATAAAAAATAATACTTTTTTACCTTACTTTTTTAATGGAACAGGAAAATAATAAGTAAGTTCGTTACGTACATAAACAAGTATATACATAATATATTATCTTCAACTCAAATCTTTTCCAATTAACCCATTATTAAAAAATAAACATAAAACACTAAAAATATTTTTAAAGTTTAATAATTTACCTACTAAATATGTTTTAATAGAGTCGATACCAAGAGACTTTCATGAAGCGTTTTTATACATAACATATTAAGAAACACTTGTGTGCCCATAAATCTGGTGCTTAAATTTTTTTTAATTTATTAATTTTAATTTTTACCAAGAACCATTTCTCTATTCACGTATAAGTAGCTGTTTAATAGGAATAGAGTTCCAAAATGGCTCCAAATAATAACAGAAGCACAATAAGAGAGCTTAGACAAGATATCATTCACAATCGTTGAAAATTAGAAATGTAATTATATTAGGATTCTATGATAAAACAATTTCTGTTATTAAATACATTTTTTTAATTTATCAACGATTTAGACTGCCATTTTGTCTAAGCCTTTTTATTTTAAATTCGCTTCAGCCGAACGCCAAGCACATATAACTAATGAGGTGGTGGTTACAATTAATTTAATATTTAATATATTTATTTAATTTTAGTGAAAACCCTTTAATTAACTATAGGTACTACCTACTAGTGTTTTCATCTAAAAAATAATTTCGAAAGATATATCTACAAGTAAAATATCCAAAAAATATACTGAATATATACCGGTATATATTTTTAATTAAACAAGTAATAATAAGGGTATTTTTTTTAAATAAAACTAGATTTTATATAATAATAATAAAATATAAACATATTTATTTAATTGGGCCATATTAACAGTATTTTATAAGAAAATAGGTGCATGTAAAAAAATATAATAAAATAATGAAAAGCAATAACTGTTCATTGGTTGAAAAATAACTGAAGCACCACCTTATTAATGTATTAAAACGAGAATTCGCATTGTCGTCTGCATCGCTATATTTTCTAGTTTTAAATATAAGTAAAATAATATCTATGTATTATTATAGTAGTAGGTATTTACTATAAACAAGTTAAATTTAAATCACACATTTTATTTTTTATTTTATAAACTTCTATATGTCAATTTAATTTCAAGATATTATACTTAAATTGAATTTTTAGCTTAACTGCGATTTATGACAAATTAGAGTCACCTTACAAAATATGTGATTAAAAATTTAACTTAATGCGAGAAAATGTCGCTGTTATACAAAGTATTTTCTTTGCAAGAAAAAAAAAGATAAATATTTAAAGTAAAATTACATATTCACGACCTACCTTCGTCTATCTTCCGAGACGCCTCTTCCAAATCACTCCCCGCGTAATTTAGGATGACGAGCACGAGGGGCATCATTTCCCACGAATAGTGAAACTTTTCTAACAGCTTATGACAATTTTCCACTAAAGACTCTAGTGATACCGCTGAAAAGAAAGAAAAACGAATGTTAATATTTAATCTGATATAAATATACCTACTAATGACTACTGAGATTTTCTGTTAAGATATTCTTAATAGTAGCCCGGGATTGGGAAGTTGGCGGTGTTGCACCCCCGTGCCTCTCATCGGTCGTGTCGAAGTATCGTCCCATCGGAATTTAAGAGTAAATGGATAGAGTGCGCTTGTGTCTGCGCGTACACTTGTGCACTATAATATCTCCTGCGCTGTCTCCTGGCTAGTCTCAATGAGATTGAACGCCGTGGTCGGTCGGAAGGGCATTATTATTAATAACTAGCAACTCACCCTCACTTCCCCGGGTTCATCCCTAGGTACGTTTTAACGGTTAGTACTTATGTAATGATCAACTATATTATATACCTAAACATAGGTACAAAATAAACAATTCTGAACTTTCCGATTTTCAGGCCGTTTTCTTTTTGGTTTTTCTCTATTTTTTTATACTTAAACCACCCCCGACACACCTCCCACAAAACAATAAAAGAATTATTCAAATTGGTCTAGCCGTTTTTGAGTTTTAGCGATAAACGAACGGCAATTGATTTTTATGTATATAAATAGATAATACTAAGATTAATAGTTTACATAAATATAATAGATTTATTTGACACTACGTACTACACTATTTATAAAACAACCAACCTAAATACATGCCGTATATTAAGAAAATTTCCTCAAGAGTAAAACAAAATTAGTCTAACAATTCCAATGATGTCTTGGCTAAGACCCGCGAACTTCATAATATACTAAAATCCTTAGGATATTAAGAAAGTATTGTAAAGATATTACTAATACAACAGAAATATAATACAGATAAAATATAAAGGAATTGTTAGTTTGACCGCTCTAACCTTTAAAACTACTAGTCCGACTAGAAACATTCTTTTTGCATTTTATGCTCGATTTATTAAGGAAAGTCATAGATTCTTTAACAATCTACGTAAAGAAGTTATAGGATTCTTTAACGTTATATCCGAAAGCGAAGAAATTATACAAAAAATTATACGCACTGAGTTTCGGGCTTGTGTTCATTTATTTTTCATCATACCTATAGATAGTTATAATCTTAAGTAGAAATAATAATTTTGGCATATATTTAAAAATACTACGGCTAAAATTCTAATAAAAGGCCTATTTTAAACTAACTGATATTACTTTTTGCTTAATAAATATTGATCTGACAATTTGTTTGTTTCTTAATATTAACCGTAAATGGACCTCGAAAATAGTTCACGGAACATTGATATACTCATAGGTATGGGTTTAAATTTAAAGTTGAAGTTGAATGCAAATATAATATTTAGCTTATTTTTTCAATTTACAAAATATAAGGAAGAAGCGACAATTACTATATACCTATTTAAATTTATAAGTTCTATATATGTGTACCATTACGGTCTCACTAAAGCTCTACATTTAACTAAATCCTACTAACATTATAAACGCGAAAGTTTGTAAGAATGTACTATGTATGGATGTATGTTTGTTACTCTTTCACGCAAAAATTACTGAGTGGATTTTGATGAAACTTTACAATAGGTAATATAGCTCATACATCAGAATAACGCATAGACTACTTTCTTTCCCGGAAAAATGTACGATTCCCGTGGATAGATTTGTTTTTGTGTTTCTAGAGGCGAACCTGAGCGAAGCGAGGGTGAACCCGCTAGTAGTACCTTATATGCAACAGCTAATTGGTATTGACTTTAGATTTACAAAAAATGTACGCATATTAATGCGTTAATCATTATCATAACTACTCTATACAATTAACACCTACGCTATGTGGCTTATGTGTAAAAAATTAAAACCAACATTGATCAAGCAATAACTTGGGTGTGATAGCTTCATTTCACTTCCACTTATTATGACATGGCGGTATCTTACAACGTCTTGACACATAATATTATTATAACTGTTCGGCTTTTTGATCTCCGTATGAGCAATATTTTAATTAATTATCTATAAAAGACAAGGCTTAACGATGAACTGAACTAAAAAGTAAAAAATAATTTTTAGTTTAAGAATAAAGTGATTAACAATAAAATTAAAGTTTTCACACACACCCACACACACACACACACACACACACACACACACACAAACACAAAAAAGAATCCAGGAAACTGTGAATAAAAACGGTTTACCCAAATAAGCGCGTGAGTCGCCAGATTTGATTATAATGCTCATGTTAGTAGGTATTCATTTTAATTTCTATAATGTAATCAGCCCTTTTTTAACGTCCCACTGCTGGGCACGGGCCTCCCTTCAATATGAGAGGGATCAGGCCATAGTCCACCACGCTGGCCAAGTGCGGGTTGGCGGACTTCACATATCTTTCGAAAACTTGCTCAGTTCCCTTAGACATGCAGGTTTCCTCACGATGTTTTCCTTCACCGTAAGGCAAGTAGTAATCATGCTAGAAATGATTTGCACATGAAAATATCAGAGGTGCGACACCCGGGATTTGAACCCGCATCACTCGGTTTCTCAAGCGAGCGCGTTACCACTGGGCTACCACTGCCTTCTGAATTTCTATAATAATGCAGCTATAATAATATAGGTAGGTGTTAGTCGGCTGTATCTCCGTGAGGTCTATTAGAACTATTAGAAGAATATTTTACTCCGAAATCACTCAGAAAACAAACTTAGAAAGTGTTAAAAGAGACGTATATAAAATAGCACTTAGAAGATATAATATTTAAAAATAGAAAATCAAATTGCGGCAAACGCATTTCCTTATCTTGCTTAAATAAATTGTTAGGACTTAGGACTGTTGTACTCGATATTAGAAGTTAGGCCTATCCGATGAAGATACTTACCAGCGAATGAATAACGCCCCAAGATTAAAAAGGCACGCCCGCGGCTCGCTCATAAAGGGAAATGGCGAGGACATAGAAAATATATATATAATCTTTATTGAGCATAAAAAACAAAAATCAGAAATATTAAGAGAAAATTGAAGGCAAAGGTGGACTCATCTCTAAAAGAGATCTCTTCCAGTCACCTAGGAGGTGAGAAAGATTGTCATTTAGCGGAGCAGAAAAGTGCAAGATAATCTATAGGTACTACAATAAAACAGTAGAACAGTAAAACAGATATTTAAAAGATGCAATGGAGGGACTTTCCTGAATAAGTTTAAGAAGTTTATTCCATAGTAGAAGAGCACGTACCGAAAACGAATTAAGTCCAAAGCCGGTATTACACTTTGGCACATCGAGCAGTGATGTGACGCAAGAACGTTTAGTGCGTGTGGAAGTAGGAAGTAAATATAGTTTATTGATAAAGGAATATAAACAATATTTCTATATACAGGCATAAAGACATTTTAATTACTCGTATTCTCGTATCTAATTCCATACGATATGATAGTACACAAAATGTAGACTAAATATAATAAACAAAATTCAACACCATTCAGGACTAGCTGGAACAGATTTGTTTGTCATCATTCCCAGAATACACTTAAGATACTTAAATCATGTCTTTGTTTATATAAAAGCTAATAACTGAAGTGTCGGTTGCTCTTAAAGGGAATCAGTCAACACTGTATTTAAATATTTACTTTACTCATTCTTTTTAAGTCGGGTGCAAGTGTAATATAATATGTCAAACGTTACTATAATTTTTTTTATTAAAATTAATTCGCATTTTTTATTATTTATATGTATGTATGTATATGTATTACTGGTCTGTAGTTAATGCCGATTTAGAGGCTGAGAAAATTAACAAAGAAAGCATTGTCAGTGTACTTTTGTATAGACATAACGCTCACCACAACGCTCACCACCTGTCCCTCGTTGCTCAAGAAGCTATGTGCAGACAGATCGAAATGCTACTCGGTGTGATTGATTCTCTATATTTAGAGTTATCTAATTCTATTTTGTTATACGAAACTCAAAAAAATATGCCCTTATAGCACTTTTTGACGTCCCACTGCTGGGCACGGGCCTCCCTTCAATACGAGGGGGATCAGGCCACCACGCTGGCCGAGTGCGGGTTGGCGGACTTTTCATGTGTTTCGAAAACTTGCTAGGTTATCTCAGACATGCAGGTTTCCTCACGATGTTTTCCTTCACCGCAAGGCAAGTAGTAATCATGTTAGAAATGATTCGCACATGAAAATATCAGAGGTGCAAGACCCGGGATTTGAACCCGCTTCACTCGGTTTCCCAAGCGAGCGCGTTACCACTGGGCTACCACTGCCTTTATTTTAATACTTTATTTTTTTACACAACGTTCAGACAACGTTTTGACTGGTTTTCTAGTCTTACTAGGGTATATACTATGTATACATATGTATATTCTAATTCTGTCAAGAATTATCGTAAGTATTTAGAACGAAGTAAATGCTTAAATACGTTCTTTAGATTTACCCGAATGTTTGACATTTTAAACAAAACTATATTCCGATATTGTCGTGGTTTCGCCTTTTTTCTCCTGACGCGACGTATCGAAGGTTTTATAGGCGCCTCATTAACGTCGCAAAAGCAACCGTAGGTATAATTCATTGATTAAAGTAATAATATACACTGTAAAATGTATTTACAATAAGTTTTATTTAATCGGTTATTAAAAACAAGTGACTATAAATATAATAATAAATGATAAAGATCTTTAAACAGAAATTAATTGAGAGACAAGTAGCAAAAATCTATGTAAGGAAAAATAATAATAAACCTTGCTATTATATTTTTATTTGTCTTTTTCTTAGTGTACCATTATATAGTCTAGTGTACAAGATTAAAAATGTCAATATTTATGTACGAAGTAAACGTGTAAAACGAGATGCGTGAACGGTGAAAGTGCAAAAATATTATTTAAACACTAGCGACTCTATCAAATCATAAAAATCTATCCCATGGAAACCATACATTTATCCGAGATAAAAACCTATGTGATATTCCAGACTATAATCTCTCTGAGTGCCAAATTTCATCCAGATTTGTTCAGCCGTTCTGGCGTG